ATGTATGTGTGTGTGTGTATGTGTATGTCTGTTGCTGTTGGGGCGAGGAAGAAAGAACAGAGAGGAGAGAAGGTGAGAACAATGACTCTGATTTGATGATGTTCCATGGCAGCATGCGTCATCACCACCACCACCATGACAATGGGTTCAAGCACCACCACCATGACAATGATGATGAGGCAGAGGGGTTCTTTACACCGGGCGTCGAGCGGCAATTAAGTAGACCAATTTGAGAAGAGAGTTTGTGGTATATAGGCATATATCTGTATATAGATATCAGATCAGTTTTGGGGCAACCTTAATTTTGGTTTTGGGGGGAATTTTAACTTGAAAATGAAATACAGGTAGCAGAAAGGGCGTTCAGAAAAGGTATAAGCAGAAAGGGCGTACAAAAGCAAAACTACAGTGAAATCACATTTTACCAAATTTGTCACATCAGCCGCGGGGCCAGGACTGGACCGGTTCCAGTGAGAAGCGAGTGGAGAGGATTTTTTTCCGCCTTTAAGGCCATCTGCAACGGGCTAGCTGTAGCCCAAATCCAGCGAGCTTCAGCACTGTAGGCCCTCCAGCAAGCTAGTTTAAAGTAATGGGGCCCATTAGCGATCGCGGGCCGACTCGCGGTATTCAGCGAGCCGGCCTGCGATCGCTAAATTTTTTCTTTTTTTTTTTTGGTTTTTTCCTAATGCAAAACGGCGCCGTTTTGCATTAGGCAGTTTTGTTTTTTTGACCAAACAGTGCTGTACAGGCACTGTTTGGCAGAATTTTTTTTTAAAAAAAACATAAAAATAGGTTATTTAGAGCTCTATTTTTTGGGAAAAAAATAAAATAAAAAATATATTGTTTGTCGAAAAAAAAAATTTTGGGCCAAAAATAAATTTAAAAACCTATATTTTTTTTTTTGTTTTTTCCTTTAAAATTTGTTTTTTTTTAAAAAAAATTTTTGCTTTAAATTTTAAATGTGTAGGCCAATATTTGGCCGTTAAGGCATTATTTCTGCAATACCAAACAGTGCCTTAACAGCTATAATTTTAATAAAAAATTTTAAAAATTCAAATTTTACCTTTTTTTTTTCCCCTTAAAATTTGGTTTTTTATTAAATTTTTTTTGCTTTAAATTTTAAATTTGTAGGCCAAATAGTGTATTTGGTCGTTAAGGCACTGTTTCTACAGTACGAAATAGTGCCTTAACGGCTATAATTTTAAAAAAAAGTTTAAAAATTCAAATTTTTTAACTTTATTCCAAAAAAAAATATATTAAATTAAAATTTTTAAAATCTCTATAAATACCCCAACTCCTACCATCACTCATCACATCTCTATTATCTACCATTCAACTTATTTCTTCTTCTATTTTCTCAATCTTAGCTATTATTTTCAAAGTCATTTCGATTCCATGAATCCTCGATATCCATTTTATTACAACACCCAATTCAACCCATCAAATGATGAGTTTTTGCCATTTCCCGAAGAGAATATTAATTTTTATGGAGGAGATTCTCAATTCCTTCTTATCAACCATCCCAAACTTCTCATTAATATTGTGGTACTAGTGTTCCATAATCAAGTAACTCAAAACCCCCGTCAAAACAACCGGCTATCCGACATAATAATTGGACCAAGACTGAAAATGAAGCTTTATGTTGGGCATGGTTGTCCATTACCTCTGATGCGATTACGGAGACAGACCAAAGTAAACAGAAGTTATGGGAGCGAATTCTGGAACAATATAAACAACATATTGGTGTTCCAACTGAGCAAAAGGATGGAGGTTTGATGAATCGTTGGTCGGTGATTCAACAAAAAATCATCAAATTTTCCAGCTGCATGACTACCATAGAAATGAATCGTCCCAGCGGCTTCAGTAGTGATGATATGATGAGTTATTTATTGTTTAAATATAACTCGTAAATATTTTAGATAGTCGGCTTTTAAATTTTTGTTATTTTTTTGTGTAAATGATAGCAGCTTGACTGGTCCTTGCCTTTACAACAAGGGTCACGATACCAAGTCAAGCTTGAAGAGTTGTGAATTTAGGAGGTGGCCAAGTTTTACATTTATAAAAAAGCCACTACTACCTTTCTCTATATAAAATATAGATAGGGCGAGTAGGGATCGTCCCAAGGGATTTGATAGTGTATCGAATTGTGAAACTATGGTAATTAGGGTTAGTAGGTCGAGTGATCACACAATTGATTGATTGGTTGATTAAGCTAAATTGAATTCAACTAAATAAAGTAATATGAAGTAAACAAGAGAGTGAGAGGTCTTGGGGTGTAGAGATCACCACCAAGCAATACTTTTCTATACTACTAACAAGTGATCAATTGAGGGTAATGGATGTGTTGCAATATGATAAGGGTGTGTGTGCATTAGGTTGATTCAATTGGCAAGGATGACAAATCAAGCAAGTATTGTCTAAACATCATGTGAAGAGCACAATATATCTAAACAATAGAGCATATATTGTCTAGATAACATAGGGATAGCACAATAGATCAAAACAAGTCATTAATCCTTCATTAAGCTCACAATCCACATACAACACAATATTAGAGGAATATGCCATTTGGACTCACAAGCATGGAACATCAAACATCAAGAGTAGATTGTCCTCCCATCTAACATTACACTACCAATACACTAAATCTACACTACTAGCATGAAAATAAAGCTATCTAGACTAAGGGAGAGGTACAAACCATCAAGAATAGGCATAAACCATCAAATGAACCAAAATAGCATTCATTAAGCATATCATCTTGATAATCTCTAGATCTATAGCATCAATACACATAGACATGCATCAAAAACACTAAATCTAGAGATAAGCACATGAATATCCTACTCTAGCATACATAGACATATGGATAGAATAGAATAGTCAATTGGAAGTATTAAACCATACAAACCATGAAATAATCAAGATTTATATATACATGAATATCAAGATGTATCATACAACACTAATCCCTCAATAATACACAAGATTAGAGTATAGAAAGCATGCTTGGGGCTAACTCTAGCCCCAAGAGGATGTCTAGCCACTCATGGTAGTGATGATCCAACCCTCAAGGGCTAACTCCATGGCTGCTCCTTGTTGGTGAAGATCTCCTCTAATGGTTGCTCTAGCTTCCTCCCTTCTTCCTCTCCAAGAATAGCCTCCAAGATGATTTTCAATGTGTGACAAGAGACTCTAGAGACCCCCCCAAAAAGTGTATCATATTCCTTATATAGGTAGGTCAAATACACCCCATGATGAGCTGTGGTCGTGCAAGGCATATTCTCCAATGATTGGATGAAGGATGGAATAAATGAGTTGGACTTTAACTTTTTCTCGCTGGAGGAAGTTCGATCGATCGAACCTTAACTTGGATCGATCGAAAATGGGTTCGATTGATCGAACTGCATCTTGGATCGATCGAAGTGGTCTGACTCCTCAGGATAAGGATAAGGCTGAGATATTTCGAAGATATTTATGGGGAAAAGGACAAAAGTGGTTGGTAGGCGTACAGCTGTGGATAAGATCACAAAATAGGGTTCGATCGATCGAAGGTGATGTTGGATCGATCGAACTTGGAATTTCAGCAAAGGCCAAGGTTGGATCTATCGAGAAGTACTGTGATCGATCATAGATGTTCGATCGATCGAACTCTAAGTTGGATCGATCGAACTTTTCAGCTGCACAACTTGATTCCTTTTTGCTCATTTCTTTCTCCACTTTGCTCCCTCCTTTGGTTTATCTTAGGATTGCTTCAATTAAACTCTTATTTGGCTGAGTTAGCTCAATTTTGGGATTAGTGCCTGAAAATATAAATAACACGTAATAAGTCTAAAACGGCAAAGTAAGATAGATAAAGGTACTTAAGCTTAACGGGTTTAAATGCGTACTTTTCAGTGCTCATCACAGCTAAAGACCTGTTTCGTAGCCAAACAGGTGGTGAATTTAAGTTAGAAAGTTGCTGGGAGATCTTGAAGCATAACAATAAATGGAATTCACATTGTGCCGAACAAGTAGGAAAAGAAAAAAAGAAAAAAGAGCCGAAGAAGAGGAGTGGATTTGACTTTGACATTAATGAGTCTGTTGGACACTAATTACCATCTACTCCGTCAAGTCATGCAGCCACGACAGATGGAGCTTCAACTGAAGAATCACCATACATAGGGTAATATGATTCACCCGGTGTGGAAGAATATCAACTACAAAGACTAACAGGAAGAAAAGCGACGAAGTAGCGTTGAGCAAAAATTAATTTAGCGAATGAATTGCAAACTTCTTTCGTTTCGAAATTTAATAATATCACCACCCGTTTTGAGAGTCGTTAAGAGAAAATGCAGGATGCCTAAGTGGCACGAGAGGTAAGAGAAATGGAGAAAGAGTTGACAAGGCAGCTAGAGATTAAAGAGAAACAGAGACTTGAAGAGAAGGAGCTCATGTTAACAGATCCAAATTCGGCACCAACAAAAGCAGGGAAAGCTTGGATTATTGCACGACAAAATGAGATATTGGCATCTTTGAATTTATGGTCCATCCCAAAGTTCACATAGGATTTTGTAATCATTGATCTATTTATTTTCTTATTCCAATTTAGGATATTGTATTGTTTAAGTTATTTTTAATTGTTTTGTTTAATTTATTTATTTATTTATTTTTTTTAATCCATAATGGATAATGTATTGTTTCAAGTTCTAATATCAATCGTAATTTTTTTTTAATAATTTACAAAAAATATTGTTTGATTGAAAAATATTGCCGTTGAGAAAATAAAGCCGTTAAAAATATAGCCATTTAGGAAAAGTTAAAAAAAAATAATAATAATAATTTATTATTATTATTTTTTAAGAGCGAAAATTTGGAAAGTGTATGTTTTTGGAAAGCCAAAATTATTGAGGTGGCTATTAGAATTGCTGATATGGCTCCTGAAAAAACTTGATATAGCGTTTTTAGAGAGTCAAAATTTAAGGAGGGTGGTGCAGATGCCTAATACACCGCATCATAATACCAATTCATATAGGTTTTCAAATTGTAATATTTGACAATATCTCAGCCACCGCCTAACCCCACGCTCTTCTGTTCCGGTCTGATCTGCCGGTTGCTGTATTGTCTGTTCCGATCAGCTTCGCCGGCGTTCTCTCTGTTTCTCCACAGACACGAGAAAAGACCACAACTTCTACCTTTCTCGCCGTTTGCTTTCTGAACAGTTCTGCCAGTGCCGGTTTTTTGTACTTACCGATTGTTTATTCCGATCAGCTTCGCCGGCGTTCTCTCCGTGTCTCCACAGACTTGAGCAAAGGTCACAACTTTCTACCTGTCCCGCCGTTTCAATTGTGTTCTACCTTTCTCGCCGTTTCAAATGTGTTCTGATCAGATCCGCCGGTGCCGGTTTTTTATACTTACCGATTGTCTATTCAGATCAGAATCGCCGGCGTTGTCTCTGTTTCTCCACAGACGCGAGCAAGGACGACAGTTTTCTACCTGCCTCGCCGTTTCCCTTGTGTTCTGATCATATCTGCTACCGATCGTCTTGGCCGTCGGTGTCTCTGTTTGATGAGGTTTGAATTACAAATGATTATTTATTGTGTTTATAAGTTAAATAAATTTATTTTTATTTTTAGGTTGTCAGTGTTCTAGGATTTCACACTTTACCGAATTGTATTAGGATTTGTTATTTTGCCTATAAAAGTGTTTAATTAGAACCATTCAAAGAGAGGAACCAGTCTGAAGTGAATTCAACTTTGTTGATGGGTTTTAGGATTAAAAGGTGCCGGAATGCACAGAGACGGTCTGCCGCTGCTGAAATCATTGGCAGTAACGAGGACCTGGCGGTGGAGATCCTTGTGCTTCTGCCGCTGAAATCTGTGGTTCGATTCAAGTCCGTCTCGAAAACATGGTTCTCTCTAATCTCCGGTCCTACTTTCCCTCTCCTCTGGCAACAGCGTCAACGACATTCCCATGATCCCAAAATCTCCGGTCTTTTCTTCACCTGTGAATCCCGAAATCAAATCAAATACATTCCTCTCAAAGACACAGATGATGTTGGAAAAAGCAAGTCTTTAGCTCGCTTTCCCAATATGTATACTGTGGATATTAGAATTATACACTCCTGCAATGGTTTTCTACTCTTGTGTTTAAATCCAAACACTTCCCTGTCCCGATCTTACCAAGTTTACAATCCTACTACCAAGCAATCCCAAACACTTCCCTGGCCCTTTTCCCTTTCTACATATCCTGCTGACCCTCTATATTTGGCCTTTGATCCTTCCAAATCAATTCATTACAAAGTTGTTTTGCTTAAGAGATTACGCAAGAACGATGGTTTGTATCAAATTCATGTTTATTCGTCAGAAACCAATGCATGGGGGAGACCCTTTGGTGATCATTATTCTTTCTCCTCAGTGGACTTGGATAATGGAGTCTATTGCAATGGTTCAATACATTGGATTTCCTTCTGGACGGATGAACCTTCCCAATACTTTGATGTTGATCAAGAAAGAGTGTTTCCAATGCCATCATCACCATTTCCGAAAATTGATGGATTCTGGCATTTCGGGGAGTCTAGAGGTCATTTGTATCTTACTGGGTGCAGTGTTTTTGGCACCACATTTGATATTGAAGTCTTAGAGATGGAAAGAGATTACTCCAAGTGGTCATTAAAGTATCGACTTAACTTTAACATGATGCTTAATTTTGTATCACAGGAGATGATCGCACCGCGAACAATGTCTCTGCTTGGCTTAATTCATGGAAAAGATGAACGAGATGTCTTTTTGGTGTTATTTGTGGGCACCAATATGATCATCTCTTATAACATTAAGGATGACACATTTAAGAAATTTCATGATGTAGTACACCATCCTGGTTCTTCTTCGCAGGAGCTTAGGCAGTTTAAAAGCTGCAGGGTCTATCCATACATTGAGACACTCCTCTCAGTTTGACCAACAGTTCATTTTACTTTGATTGGGTGTTTGTTTCAGTGTTTTGTAACTTCTTCAATCTCGAAATCTATTTACTTTACATTAATAATCTGTCCTACTATTTACTTTTTATTGTGGCTTGTGTTCAAGTTTTGTATAATGCATGCCCCTTTATTGGAACTGGTTTGCATAACAGAGAATTAACAGAGGACGTTTTATTACCTTGAAAGAGAATTCACAATGAAGTCTTACCATTATACCAAGGATCAAAAAAAATAATTAACTTCCTGTACAAATTGGAAATCCTTCATCTTGCACCAAAACATCATTGACAGCAATGCATTGCCTCCATGCAACAGAGGTAGAATAAGATGGAATAGCCAAGGATGGCCCTTTATGCTACACTTTGAATTTGGAATTAGAGAAAATTTAATATACTTAAATTTCAAACTCAAAGCTCTGATTTGGTGCTACCAAATATAATATTAATGTATTTCTTCCAAAACCAAGGCAGCTACAAATTCTCCTTTCTCTTCAACAAATCCAACACCGTATAACAAATCCACATTATTTAGCACTTTCAAAAAGCTTGTTAGTGTAGCAATAATTCTGGTTGTTCCCATCAATTTGGACAGTTTTTGTCCATAAATTTCATTTTATGGTTGTTGTGTTGTAACACCCGAAACAGGGGCTATGACAAATGATGGTTAGGAAATCCTCAAACCAACAATGAATCATGTAACAATCAGCCCCAAAATTAATATAACAGACCCTCCATTCATGGTTGGAGGCCGCGCACAAAGGCAGCCTCCTGTTGGAAAGAATTTTGCGCAAAGTAGTTGATCAAAAATTCGTGGAAAAATCAATTTAAAGCGAAATGGGGCAAACTAAATTCTTGTGAAATTAGACTCAGAATACAACAAGGCTAAGCCAGTCATGGAAGTTGAATGTTTCTCAATTAAAGCAGATTTTAGAAGTAAAACAGATTATCCAGATTGAGCTGAAATAGACCTTTCAATAAACTTCATTCATTTGAAAAATATAAGGATCTTATAAAATCAAAGGATTTGGTTTTTAGAAAGTAGACTCCAGTGAATAAAAATATTGAAGGTTTGATCATTTTCAGATGTCAAAATGTTCATCAAATAAATTATCCAAAATCTGATTCCCAATAAAAGTCGGACAACAAGCACTGTCAGATTTTTATAAAAATAATTAGTTGTCCAAAGATTACGAAATTTTCCATAGGGACTCTAGATACAGTGTGGTAAAAATTTAAAAGCATTTGGAGAACTACAACCCCCAGGTGAAATTAATGAATCTCAGCGCGCGCGCACACACACACAAAAAAAAAAAAAAAAAAAAAAAACCTAACTATTGCTTGTTCCAAATCCCAACATCAGGCTATAACTCATATAAAACCTAATCAAAAGTTCATAAAATGTCCACAAATGATATAATTAGAACATGTTTAGTTCAAAATCTTAAAATTACATCACAATTCTCAAAATTTAGTTTATACAAACATTTATTCAAACACCTTATATACAAGAACATAAATGTCTCCACTAAGTGAAATTCAGCAACTTCAATTCTCCAATTTGATCATGGCACCTGAAAAACGGTCGGGTGAGACAAAGTCCCAGTAGGAAATACACTAGCAGGTGTTAAGGGATTTCAGCACAGAAACAACCATGAAGAGCATGTTATGAAAATTTGAGAAAATTATATCCATAACAAATACACATATACATGAACCAACACTTTTTTAAATAGATCATTTGCAAGGAAGTCAGCAAAGATGCTTCGAATCAAGAAGGTTTTTAGACAAATAACGAAGCACATACTATTTCCAACAATAAGAGCATTTCCATGGCCACAATGATAGAAACTATCAAGCCCCAAAATTATATTGCATACCTTTAGTCATGAAATCAATGTTGTTAATGCCTGCAAAACAAAGTTAGAAATCCTCAAGATGTTCACGCATATGCAAGTCTTTATACGTGTACTTGATGGAGACAACACAGACTGCTATTTGTTAGACATGAGACCTCTGTAAGGAACGACATGAATAAAATCGAAAGAGAGTGATCCATCATGCAAACCCCTTGCTTTATTCTAAATAAAAAATGGTAACCACCTTCAACTTCCCACAACCACACCCAAAATGTGTGTCAACCATAACGTGGGTCAACATATGTGTTGGAATGTCTGTGGCAATATAGTCCACATCACGTGTAATAAATACACGTGTCTAACATTCTCCCACTTAGCCAATATTGACACACTTATTTTCCTTAGAGGTTTGAGAACTAAAGCTTTAATTAAAGAAATTCAGTGTATAAAATCATGGCGGAAATCACACTATAAATAAGTGTTACCTTCCATGTATCATTATATCATCGTCTTTCTTAAATAATCATCTTTATGCGGTAGTACTTTATGAATAGTTACCCTAAAAACTATTCAAGAAAACCAACTTTATTATCCAAATGGATTATTTGTATGAATAAGCTCCCATACACCGATTCTAATGTCCTATTTTATTATCCAAAAGGATAATTTGTTATTTATAAACTTTATGTATACTAGCCTTAAAGTGACAAATAAATATTAAGAATCATCATAACATAAATGCAATTGCAAACTTTCAAGCGTCTTAGTTGTGAGTTTATGCAGCGAAAGATATATGTAGAAAGTTTAAGTTTTTAACGAAAAGATTAAAATTTGTGTCTTTTTATTTTAATCCGCTTTACTTAATTTAGCAATTAATCAAATGCAAGATAAAAGTAAAGTAAAACAAATAGAGTTTGAGAGATGACACTGGGATTTTTAACGAGGAAACCCCAATTGGTAAAATAAACCAATTTTTTTGAGAAAAATCTCGTGGACTGTGCAGTAGTCTAAAGTAAACCGATCCACTATGTTTAAAATAAAGTACAATGGACTTTAACTCAGGCTCACACCCTATCATTCTACCAAACACTAATTGCTGACAATACTCTGGATTTGCGACATCCGTCCAACAGCTCTTGATTTCAGGCTTAGTACTCTTGATCTTTGTAGAAGGATTCCTGTAAATCAAACAACACTCCTCAAATTTTTTGACCTTTTCAAAGTATGATCACTTTATCCCTGTTCTTTAAGAGCTGAATTTGATGTAGAAGAAATAGATCTGCTTCCTATGTTGGGAAACATGCAAATTTTAAAAACCTTTTAAGGGATTTTCATACATAGATCTTGATTCATCACATAAAGACAAGTTTAATGCAAAAATAAAATATGATGTATCATTCAATTAATAGATTGAATACTTACACAAATGTCTGAGTTTACACCTTTAAATCTTTCATCTAAAATGAATGTTCTCACTTATTGTAGATTCCTTCACAAGATCATTTTTCTTTCTTCTTGATGATAATCTTCCCTTTAGGAATCACCAATATACCTCGATGAATGACCTTGGAGGCAAGGCTTGTGGTAGCCTCATTTAGAAAAGAAAGAAAACCCTAAAAAAACTAGAGAGAGAAAACATATTTGTTTTTTCTTCCAAAAGTCTACCTAAAAATATGCATGAACCCATGTATATATAGGCAACATAAAGATAAGAAAAGGAAACAATAAATCCTTCTCAATCTCTACTTACCATATCTCAATTCTAGTAAAACTCCAATATCAACCTGGGCTATGGGTGAGAATCCTTTGAGCTTACTATTTTCTTGGCTACTATAATTAATAATTGGTATGGTCCATTCAACCATGGACCAAATTGAATTAATTCATAATTTAATTTCTACTCCACTAAAAGAAATTAATTGTATTCCAATTAAATAGTAAATAACCTCTAAGTCAATGTTGCACTTTGACCCTCTATGCATAATTATTTATCGAATTATAAAGCCATCAATCCGACAACATAATTAATATAATTATTTTGTTACCTTTGATTATTTCCGGCTTGATCATAATAAAATTTTGTTTGACAAAAATAATAATTTACTAAATAAATATATAGAAAACATTTTGTCTAAAACATACGAAGGCTTTTGAATTTAATTTGTGGTTAACCATAATCAATACAAAATAAATACAAGTAGCACTGATGCAAATATTGAGAATATAACCCTCTAACTATTAATTACATAATTACCTAAAAAAAGTCGGTCTAAGGATCCTAAAGTATCCGCCGAACAAATCAAAGTAATTATTAATTAATTAAAGAATCTATACTTCTCTCATTCTTGAGAGTCAAAAGTCATGACTGTGACAGAGAGCAATTGCATACGATGGCTCTTACAATTTATCTCAACCTATCGAGGACTAAGTTCAAGTCTTAGTTAATTAAATGTCCATTCATAATTACCGATGTTGAACCATTTATCATTACTAATTTATAACTGAGTATTAATTGACATTACATACATATATAAATATATCTTGTAATCAAGTGGACACAATTAATTCCATAATGAATCGAAAAAATGATACATTCCATTCACCAATTGTATAATGCCTTAATAATAATATTTAGATAAGGAACCATGACTTTTACAATCCAAATAAGAATTTGCTATGCTGGGGCACATAAATCCCAACAGCTGATCCCACTTGCCCTTATAGCTAATTCGAATCACATCTAACTCTCATGTTTTCCATATGACGATCAAACATCTTGATTGGTAAAGCCTTTATGAATGGATCAGCAAGGTGAATCTTGGCCACAAGTATATCTCCTTGCTTTACTATATCACGAACCACATGATATTTCCTTTGAATATGTCTTGTTCCTTTATGAAATTTTGGGTCCTTGGTTTGGGTTATAGCCGCACTATTATCACAATGAAGCGTCATAGGCCGATCTATATGCTTCATAACCTCCAGTTCAATTAGAAAGTTTCTCAACCAAATAACTTCTTTTGCTGCCTCAGAGGCTGCAATGTATTCTGCTTCCATGGTTGAGTCAGCAGTACTACTGTGCTTTACATTCTTCCAACTAACTGCCCCTCCATTGAGTTTGAACACATATCCAGATGTAGATCTCCTGGCATCTAGATCCGATTGGAAATCAGAATCCGTATATCCGATTCGAACCAGATCATCACTTTCATAAACGAGCATGAGACTCTTAGTTCTTCTAAGGTATTTTAAGATATTCTTCACAGCTGACCAATGATCAAGTCCAGGATTGGACTGATATCTACTGACAATCCTTACTAAGTAGCAAATGTCTGGTCTGGTACATACCATGGCATACATGAGACTGCCAATTGCCGAAGCATATGGTATCCGCCTCATTTGCTCAATTTCCTTATCAGTCTTAGGAGACTGTTCATTGGAAAGAGCCAATCCATGTCTAAATGGTAAAAAACCCTTTCTTAGAGTTTTCTATTCCAAACCTGGTCAGAACTTTGTCAATGTAAGACTCTTGAGACAAGCTTATTTTCTTTTTAACTCGATCTCGCAAAAGTTTGATCCCAAGAATATAGCTTGCTTCTCCAAGATCTTTTATCTTAAATTTATTGAACGACCACCTTTTAATTGATGAGAAAGCCTCTACATCATTACCGATGAGTAAGATGTCATTAACTTATATAACGAGAATCATGATGACATTACCCTGTTTTTTCTTGTAAACGTAAGGTTCAAACACGTTTTGTTCAAAGCCAAATAATTTGACTGCCTGATTAAAACAGATGTTCCATGTGCGTGAAGCTTGCTTAAGTCTATAAATAGACCTATTCAACTTACACACACAGTCCCATGACCTTTTACCACGAAACCGTCTGGTTGCCTCATGTAGATGTCTTATTTAAGATGGCCATTTAAAAATGCCGTCTTAACATCCATATGCCATATCTCATGGTCATAATGAGCATTAATGGCCAAAAGAATTCGAATAGATTTAAGCATTGTAACTGGTGAGAATGTATCCTTATAATCAATACCTTCACGTTGAATGAAGCCTTTGGCAACTAGTCAAGCTTTGAATGTCTTAACATTCCCATCCATTCCTCTCTTTCGTTTATAGATTCACTTACTACCAATGGGCTAAACCTCACTAGGAAGTTCTATAATATCCCAGACTTTGTTAGAATACATAGATTCCAACTCTGATTTCATGGCATTTTTCCAACGATTCGCATCTATATCGGTCAATGCTTCCGCGTAGCTTATTGGGTCTGACTCATGCTTATCGGGGATGGCCTCATAGATCTCACCCAAAAGCGTTAGTTTATCGAGTCGGATGATAGTCCTCCCACTACGACGAAGGATCGATGCAGGAATCGATGTATTAGATGATGGCATTTCAACAAGGACTTCTTATGTCTCCTCATTCTCAGTATTTATATTAGGTGTGTCCGTAGAGGGTATATTTGATGTGCCAACCATCTCTTCTAATACTGTTCGGCTACTAGGTATGTGGTTCATAATATAATCCTCCTCCAGGTATACAGCGTGAGTGTTGACAATAATCTTACTATCCCTGGGATCATAAAATAATCCACCTCTAGTGCCCTTAGGATCGCCAATAAATAAGCATGCATCTGATCTTGCTTTCAACTTGTCTGCCTGTTTCTTACGCACGTGTGCTGGACACCCCCATATATGCATGTAATTTAAACTAGGTTTCTGTCCAAACCACAGCTCATATGGTGTTACTGAAACAAACTTGGATGGAACATAGTTCAAGATGTATATCGCTGATTCTAAGGCTAATTCCCAAAATGAAAAAGGTAATGTAGCAAAACTCATCATAGATCTAACCATATTAAGCAAAGTTTTGTTTCTCCTTTCTGCCACTCCATTCTGTTGGGAGTCAGGTGCGGATAACTGGCGTATAATACCCTCATTGACTATATGATCCTTGAACTCCCCCAAGAGGTATTCACCTCCTCGATCAAATTGAAGTGTTTTAATAAGTTTACCTAATGTACGCTCCACTTCTGCCTGAAACTCACGGAATTTTTTATAAGTTTCTGACTTGTGTCGCATTAGGTAAATATATCGAAAACATGAATAATCATCAATGAAGGTGATGAAGTACTCAAACCCTCATCTCATTTAGGTGTTCATAGGACCACACACGTCTGTGTGCACCAACTCTAATTGTTCTTTGGCTCTATATCCTTTGGCTGAGAAAGCCCTTTGAGTCATCTTTCCTTCAATACAGGATTCACACGTTGGCATAGGCTCCTCTGCCTCACAAGGTAATAAACCTTCTTTAACCAACATTTGAATCCTATTTTGATTGATGTGACCCAATCGTAGATGCCAATGATACAATGAGTTTAGAGAGCCTTTCTTTTAACATTCAATCTAGATTAAGTTGCATTTAATTCATAATTTTGCATTTGATATGAGTTAGGAGTTAAAATGTATAGACTATCTTTCAATGCACTAGAAGTTATAACACAACCATTTAATTTAATTAAAACATTCTTCCCTAAAGTAAAAATATAGTTTTTGCAAACCAATGAAGAAACTGAAATTAAATTGCGCCTAACATTTGCCGCATAAAGACAATCTTTTAAAATAAGACTCCTCCCACTATTAAATTACATATGAACCACTCCCATTGCTTTAGCTTCCACCTTAGCATTAGATCCCATATGCAAGTATATCTCTCCTTCATTGAGGCTTCTGGACTCCTGGAATCCCTACAATGAATTACAAACATGATTAGTGGCTCCAGAATATATACACTAGGAATCTATAAATTTAACCACATAGCATGCCTTAACAACGAATATACCTTTTCCTTTACCTTGTGCGCGAAGTGTTGGGCAGTTAGGTTTCCAGTGACCCGGTTAATCGTAATGGAAGTAGTTTCCTTCGCCTTCAACCCGCACTTTCTTTTTTCCCTTATCTTTTTAGATCACTTTGTTTGGCACAAGCACAATTTGGGCGCCATTATTATTCTTCTTTTTACCCTTCTCTTGGGCCTAGAAGTGGATGGTCTAGCAAACTGAGTGTAGTTGATAGATGCACCCTTACTTTTGATTATCCTTTTAAAGGTTACCAACTCATTCAGAAGTTCAGCGAGTGAGTACTCAAGCTTATTCATAGAATAATTAACCCTAAAAGAGTTGAATGAGTCTAGCAATGAAGTGATAATCATGTCAACCTAAAGTTCACCATCCAAGTTACATCCAAGAATCTCAACTTCATTTAGAAAACCAATCATTTTTAAAGCATGATCCCGAACTGGAGTACCTTGGACTATCTTAGTGGTTATCAAGTTTGTCATAGCAGTTTGGCGTGCACTCTTACCAACTTGCCCAAACATTTGCTTGAGGTTAAGCATAATGTCTGCAGAATTGAAATAATAAAGATGTTGACTTTGGAGCAGGTTCGAGAGTAAAGCAAGAATGTAGCACCTAGTCATCTCATCTGCTTTATTCCACTTCTTAAAAACTTCATGCTCCTCAAGAGGATCCTCAGGCAAAGGTAGAAAAGGTCGGGGAGTAGTAAGCACATAATTGAACCCTCATATGTGAGTACAATATCTAGTTGCCTTTTCCAATCGATATAATTAGGTCCAGTCAATCGGTTTTCTTTTAGTATATTTGCAAGTGAACTGAATGGACTAGTCATGATAAATCTGAAAATAAAAGCATTCATATAATAAATAAGGTGAATAAAAAAAAAATCAAGCAAAATAAAATAATTAATTAATTGTGGGTCCTTTAACCACATTGCATGAAAAATTGGACAATCAATATGCCAATAACTTATCGGGTTGGCGGAGTTCATTATTGCTATTGACGAGAATAACTCATTATTTTCATATTTCTTTAGACAATGCCTTATCTATATATAAAATAATTCCCGATTTAGTTTAGCCTTTTTAAAATCACCTAGTATAGACCACTCCGTTGGGGAGCTAATACTATTGATTTTAGATTAAGTGTATAATGTTATTAATGCTCCAATGAAATATCAAATATTAAATATATTGCCATTATCAGTTTAGACTATTTAAATCATGCATAGGGCCTTATTTTCAAAGATCTAACTATAATAGACACTTAATAAATATATTTTCGTGAGACTACCATTCTTGTAATCTAGACTCTTTAAATCATGTATGGGGCATTATTTTTAAAGATCTAATCACAATGGTTATAATAATGAAGGCCATGGGGTAATGTATAAAAATTCTCACTCCCACTCAATTTTTAATTATTTATAATTAGGGTTTTCAATTCTTGATTTAATGGATGCAAAACACCTTGATTTTAATCCAATTAAATTTAGAAAATATCTGAACTTTTAAATGATTCACTAATATTTAATTTGAGGCACACTTTAAAAATATTTTACCAAAAAAAAAAAAAATTTCGTTTCCCAATAAATACCCTCTAAATAATTAATAATCAAATTCAATTAATTTTCGTAATTTAATTAATATAAATCAAGTCATTTAGATAAAAATCATGGATCCAATGCATGAACAATAATAATTAGCAATTAATTATTCCATGCATCACATAAATAATTAAATAACAGATAATAACAAATAAAATGGCCAATAGAATCAGCTTTTAACATTTAAATACTATTCTTGTTGTACAGGCGTCCACCAACGACTTTTTAAACAATTGTAGGGAGCTGGTACGCGCCTAGAGAAGCAAAACAGTGCTTGGAATGCACTTGAAGGACCCTACATGCGCTGGCACGTGCCTGGAGGAGTTGCAGTGCATCCCCACGCGTTGGCACGCGCCTTTACGCTCTGCCACACACTGGTGATAGCAATAGGCGCGTGGCACGCGCCTTCACGCGCTGGTGAAAAGTCAAATATTGTTGGCACGTGGTCCTCAAGCGCAGCTGGATTAAGCGCACCAATGATGCGCTGCATGGGATAAATTCCTATCTCTTAGGCTTGCTCCGGCGGTCTAGGATTCGGGTGCACTGTACGCTGGTGTACCGTGCCATACCAGATCCTCCTTCTTCCCTCCGGCGCCACCTCGTCACCAGCGGTGCTCCGGTCGCCGAAAAATAACCAAAAAATCCAAAAAAAATTTAATAAAAACCACTAAAAAATTCTAAAAAAATTCAAAAAAGTTCCAGAAAATTCCAGGGACCTTATTAAATACTCTTGGACCTTCTTGAAGCTTCATATTACCTATTGATGAAGATTACATGACTTTGAAATTAATTATACATATGAAATACAATGAAAAATAATTAAATTACATCATTGAATTTTCTAATGGCTAAATCCAAGCCTTAATTACATTCATCCAAAGATAAAATTACATTAAACCAATAAACTTCATCCATGGCCCAAAATA